ACACACATGGGCAATTTCGAGGCGCGAGCGTTCTGTAATACCCGACATCGGTAGCGTCGACTCGACTTATGCAAAGAATAAATGTCGTTGTGCCAGCTGTAATCAAACTCAAGCATTCTGCGTCGCAATGAAGTATTTTACCCCAAATTTACGCCAGGTCTCCGACTACTTTTCAAATAGACGCTAATCTTCGTGAAACGTCCGCAGTGGTTGCAGTGCTGTCTACCGAATTTTATAAATATTACATATGTACTCGTTTGATACAGCCGTCACGTCGGGTTAACGTCAATTGAGGTTACTGGCCATGCGCTGAAGTTGATTTATGTAGCAGTGTCTAGGCCTAGCATCCTCGCGAGCATCAGCGCTTCATATCAGCTTCTGGTGTTGCTAATACGTACGTTCCAGTTGGCATAGTTGTGCAAGTGCAAGCAACTGGTGATATAAACATCTGCAACTCTTAAACATATGTCTGTGCTTGCAGCATTTGTACACATATTTAGCGTAATTTCTTGACGTGTCACTCATTAATAAAATGCAACAAGGTCACCTTCCCTCCGCATGCTTCGCATAACGTCGATTCCCAGGTGCGTGGGATCTGCAAATTTTTTTTATTGAAATAACCTACTTTGTCATCGAAGAACGTAATGCTACTTCTGCGCAAGCGTCAGCCATAATCGACGAGGGTTGGGCTACACTGCTTCCAGCGCCTTCAACGTCAATTCAAGTGGATAAAAGACGCCCCCCATCCCCAGATTTCTTCAGTGGGCACGTCGGCTGGTCATCTTGTAGCACCATGTTCAAGCCGCTTCTTATCTACGTGCAGGTTAGTAACAAAGTATCATCTGTTAAAACTAGCAATCGTTATTTCGTCCAGCTGACGTGCCCACATAGATTGTATACCTTGTATTGTGACATTAAGCAAGTGTTTTTGTCCCTACTGATGCTATGCGGGGACGTTGAATCCAATCCAGGACCCTCCACTGCGGAATTGTTGTCGCAGTTGATTAAAGGTCAAAACAACATTCAAAAAAGGCTTGATGATATCGAGCTGAAATTGAAAACTGTGGAGGAAACTTGTGAGATAACTAAAGGATTCAGCGATAAACTTCGCAGCCTGGAAAATACGCTTCAAGACCTAGAACGTAAGCTCGTTGATTTAGAAGACAGAAGCAGGCGTAACAACCTTGTTGTGTTCAGCATACCCGAAAAGAATGATGACGCCTCTGACGACCTCATGAATAGCGTAGTCTGCAATGTGTTCAGGCATGCTTTAGACGTGAACGTAAACTCAGTCGAGCGAATTCATAGGCTAGGGCGAAGGCAGCATGGTAAAAATCGCCCAGTGATCTTGAAGTTTTTCGACCACAGGGAAAAAGTTAACGTTCTCAAAAGTTGCTTCAAATTAAAAGGAAAGGGAATCTCAGTCTCGGAGGATTTCTCTGCAAGCACTCGGCACGTCAGGAAGTTACTATGGAACAGCACTTCAGATATTAGGAAATCTGGCACAAAGGTTCAACTTGTACATGACAAAATTAAGATTGACGATCGATTGCTAACATTAGATGAAGTTCAGCGTGGAATGGTCTCTGCGAGCAGACCGCTTACCAGATCAACTCGCAACAAATGAAACGACAAGAACGGGAGACTTTTCCGATGCCTAAATATGAACGCCCATAGTATTCTAGCAAAAAGCGATGATTTAGACAGTGTTGTATTAACGTATCACCCTCACCTCTTGATAATAACTGAAACCTGGCTTCGCACCGACGTTAGTTACGATGAGATCACGCCCCGGGGTTACCGCATCTATCGCAAAGATAGGAGTAGTCGAGGCGGCGGAGCTGCTATCATATTTAAGGAAACCTTACAAGTTGAAAGATTAGCCGATATACCAGATCTTGAATGCGTAATTGTGAAAGTAGACACAGGCGATCTTAAGTTCATAGTCGGCGCTTTTTACCGCCCCTCAGGCACAGACGAAGTATTCTTTGATAAGCTTAATGAATTTCTTCGCATGGTCCGCAGTTGCTCTAGTAATATAATAGTTGGCGGTGATTTCAACGTTCCTTCAGTTATATGGGATACTGATTTTCCTGTACCGTCTTCAAATGCAGCGAAACGTTTAGTCGATATAGTCCTTTTTCATGATTTAACTCAACTAGTTAAGCAACCAACCCGCGTACAAAATGCCACAGCTACAACTCTGGATTTTTTTTCGTTAGCAACAGCATGCTGCGTCGTGTGGCAGACACCAATGTGCTTGATGGAATATCCGATCGCAAATTGGTTTACATGTGCATTAATCTTAATGAAGTTCCAAAAGGCAAGAGGGAAGAACGCGTGGTGTCTGTCTTCTCGCGCGCAAAAGACGTAGAAATACTGTACACATTAGACTTAAATTTTTCTCGATTCACTTTACTTTCTGAATCTAGTAATTGTACTGTTAACACCTTTGGTGTTTCTTCAAAAACGTTGTGTTGCAGTGCGTTCATGACTTTGTGCCAGAAAAAGTGAAAATAATAAAAAAATGTTAGCCCATGGATTACTATGCCAGTTGTTCGTTTGGGGCGAAAGGCAAACAGGATAAGAAAACGGCATCGTCAGAACCCCACTCCGTCGACCGTGCTTAAACTCAGTAACGTGCGTAAAGAATTAAAAGACAGTATCAAGGAAGAAAAAGATCAATACTATAACGTCACTTTAGAAAACTTCTTGCTGTCATCCCCAGCAAAATTCTGGCAGCATTTAGCCTCAAACAAGAAGCGTTTTCATAATATATGTGTTAATGGGACTATCTTAACTAATAAAAAAATTATTGCAGAATCTTTTAACACGTTTTTTTGTTCAGTGTTTACAGATGACGATGGAAGTAAACCATGTTCAAAAACGCTTCATGATATCCCACCAATAAGTGACCTTACAATATCTGAGGAAGGAATCTTGTCTATACTTCTTAACATTGATCTCAAAAAGACAACTGGTATTGATAGCATACCTAACGCGTTCCTTGTGAGGTATGCTGAATGGTGCTCGAAGTTTTTGTGCATCATTTTTCAAAAGTCTCTGTCACAGCGCACGCTTCCAGATGACCGGAAATTCAGAAAAATTATCCCTATACCCAAATCACCTAACACTTCTCTCGTCTCCGCCTATAGACCAATTTACCTGCTTTGCTCATGTGCGAAGGTATTAGAACATATCATATTCAAGCATCTCTCAGTTTTTCTCGAGGAAAATAATTTAATCAATGACCGAAAACACGGCTTTCGAAAAGGATTCTCAACCGTCACACAACTGTTGGAAACCGTTCATGACATTGCAGCTATTCTAGATAGGCAAGGCCAGGTTGACATGTTTTTCCTAGACTTCGAAAAAGCATTTGATCGCGTGTCGCACCCATAACTTCTCGCAAAACTTAAACCTATACTAAAAAACAGTACATTAACTGCATGGATTGAGGCCTACCTTTATTATTGAAATCAAATAGTTTATATAGATAACGTCCAGTCGGATTCACGACCAGCGAAATCGGGAATCCCTCAGGGCTCTGTGCTTGGGCCACTTCTTTTTTTAAATTTTTATAGACGACATTGCCAATGATATCCCGGTTTCTATTAAGTTATTTGCAGATGATTGCATTCTCTATCAGGAAATACGTAGTGCAGACAACCAGGTTCTTTTAAACGCAGCGTTAACAAAAATATCTTCTTGGTGTGCAGTTGGCAAATGAAGATTAATGAAAAGAAAACGGTAGCTATGACCGTTACGCGCAAGCTGCTTCCTTTGAAACACCATCGATGGTCAAAAACTATCGTTTGTTGAAACTTATAAATATTTGGGGGTTGTATTAAGTGCAGATTTTAGGTGGAATGAGCATGTTGCCTACATTGAAAAGAAAGCTTTACAGAAACTAGCATTTCTAAGACGTCCTTTGCGCAAATCTACGCCCAAATTAAAATCAATTGCGTATAAAACTTTTATCCGCCCGATCCTCGAGTATTCATCTGTGGTTTGGGACCCTCATAGCAAAGTAAATATTAAAACACTTGAAATGATTCAAAGAAAAGCAATCCGATTTTTATATAATCGCTACAGCGCTCTGACTTCACCCAGTGAACTGTTAAAAAAAGCTGACTTGGATATCTTGCAGGCAAGACGGCAACACGATTGATTGAAGTACATGTTTTTACTTTACCACGACAAGTTACGCATAGACAAGCACGCGTACATAAAAACGGTTCACCGACGATCAACTCGTTCGGAGCATTAAAAAAAAAAACTGAATGAATATTCCTGTCAAACAAAAGCCTTTAAAAACACTTTTTTTCCGCGCACTGTATCTAATTGGAATGCTCTTTCTGCCGATCTGGTGAACTGCGAAACCGTTCAGTCGTTCATGGAAAAACTTAAACACCAGCAACCCACTTGACTTTGATCCTTCTTTGCGCGTCGCCCTCTAATATTCCACCGCACATCCTGAACAGGCTTCTATTTATGTTCCACTTTTTATCAATTTTTTCATATCAATGTATTGTATTTTTTGAATGTTGCGATTTTCGAACCGTTATATGATATTTGTTTCTTAGTTCTGTATGAGCAGATGTTTGTCATCATAGTTTTTTTTTGTATGTGTACGCGTAAACCACTACAATTGTGTAAGTACTAGCGTTTTACTTTGATGTACTAGTTCTTCATGGTGTAAGCTCTACGTGACGTGTTTCCTTTCCTGTTGTATCTTCATATTTGTTTCTTTTTTTGTATCACCCACCCCTGCCTAAGGCCTCATGTGTGAGGCTGGCAGTACTTCTGGAATAAATAAACATGGACAGCGTCGGCTGGTTCGTATCGAATGATCCAGCATGGTTCGTATCAAATAATCCAGATGTTCAAATTTATTCGGAGTTCCTCACTACTGCTTGTCTTATGATGAAATCGTTCTTTCGTCACGTAAAGCCACAGAACACTACAAATAGTGTAAATTTCGAAAAGTGCTGACTCACGGTCACTTTTGCGCTGAGATATTGGTCGCCCACTTGAAGTGCCTGCTCCATGTTCATGTCAGGTGACAGCAAGGATAAGATGTGCTCCATTGCGCTCGCCTGCCAAGGCAGCCATTTGTTGAACAAGACTGGCGGCCCGGGGATCAATCCTGTGTCCACCACAACAATGCGATCCACCGCAGAGGGCTGTAAGATTTTAAAGGTGGAGAATAAACGCAAGATTATAAAAATAAAATGCGGTCAGTTCCTCTCGAAATCGGGCTATAGGGGGCAGCATCGTCATTACCCTAGTGGGGATAGGCGGCCGGCGGCTCGCTTGCAAATGTAGGATGTAGCGCATTTTCAGGGTGGTGTGAGCAGACTGTCGGCAAATAAAATGCATTGACTGCCGCCTACTCATAATCTATATGTCTTTCATTGCTCAATGAATGCACAAAGCTCGCCAAACGTTACTATCACTTGTGAGAGAAGCGCAATATACCGTTAAAAGGGATCATCAGACCCAGTGGTGATTGTCAGCGCTTTCGCACTGTGTCACGTTTCTTGTATTTTATTTAATTTTAATTGTTGAGCGTGTGTGTCGTCTACTACACACTGCCGCAGAGCGACTGAATTCATTCTGTGCCCGCTAGTCTTGGATACGAAAATAGAGGAAGAAACAAATTCGATATTCTCTGGCGATCAGTTCGAGAATACCGCAATTACGCATGCAACTACGTGGTTGACAGCACTTTAGCGCACCTGTTCTTAAAGTATAAACAGGTAGCAATTGAGCGAGCAGGTTTCTAAGATTATCTGCATTCCATTGATTAAAAAAAAGTTCCTTTATTTGATGGGACGAAATTCTTTTTTTTTTCAAGCGAATAATGCCTGATGCATCCGTCAGTCTATCACAACGCCACAAAAGCGCTGAAAACAAAAAAAAGATATTACGTCTTGCGTGAAATTATACCACCTATGTGGGACACGCTATCTCAATTACCTTTGGGTGTCTGAATTATTTTTGAAGCGAACCCAAATCCAAGAGTACGAGTGTCTGTATAATTTCGCCCAATGGGAAAATTGAGTGCGGTAGCGCAAGTTTATTTACCTGCTTGTCTTTCCATTCCATTGTTCCTTCAAAGGACAATTTCAGTACCGAAGTGTCAAAATTTACTAGACAGCGATTTTGTGAGACCAGGACCGTACATTGAAAGGTTACCTCAAGCACAATTAAAGCTTTTCGCCGATCCGATAGGTGACAGCGCCACGATCAGACACCCGACGAGAAGGCAAAGCTTCGTTTATCCCCGGTCGCTAAGAGGACGCATTCAAACAATATTTATTATTCGTCATCTTTGGGACGATGTCAAGTGTGCTTTACGATGTGGTTCAGCTAAAAAGTGACATCATCCTTGTGAACAGAGGCTACGACTATGACACACAGCACTCTTGGCAAGTTCCCGACCTGATCTTATTGCCGTACGTACGGTCAAGCAAGGCCAAGTGCTTCCGGAGTGAGTGCTAGGCAAACGCATTAGCGGTTACGCTGTCGATAACAGAGTGGGACAAACCACACTTTGAGGTCGAGCATTATGTACACGCCCATGCTACAGCCTTAGATGGCTAGCAGATGACGCTGCAGAGCAATTCACACTAGCTGGGCTACAGCCAGTGGCCACCAGGTGGCGACTCCGCTCGATCTTGGGACGAATGCTCTCAAAAATAATGAATTGTAGTTATTAAGTTGTTGCTTCTTTGATGCACTTTTACGCCTTACACCTCTGTGACGGTCAGCAATGCAATGAGATACTACTGTTTATCATGATGGGTTGCCCGTGCCAGTTAACAAGCGCAACTATGGTAGTGTGCAGGGCAACTATGGTAGTGCAGCGCAACTATGGTAGTGTGTATGGTAGTGTCCTCTCTTCATTGAAGAGGGAGAGGAAGCGTTTACGCTGCCCCCCCCCTTTAAGGTCGAGTCCCAAAGACGCCTTAGTGTACAATGATTAAAAAATCACGGCGTATACATGAAATTAATGATCATGAGTGAGCGAAGCAGTGGGACCGTTAGGTGTTACCGCAAGTCACCCGTGACATCCTCTACTCACGAATGTAAATGAGTACCAAGCGGCGTACAGTTAAATACATTGTTTATTGGTAAAAACTGGTATGTTGTGCTGAGTTCTGAATTTTGTTCTGCCTTCATTATTACTGCTTTGTGGTAGTGGATGTAGCCTGAAGTTTGCAAAGACAAAGTCTGGGCACGTTCCAACGGTGGTTGTTGGCTGCTTCCAGTCATAATAAATGCACCGTAGAGCATATCGAGACGCCATCTACTGCACAAGCCAGACGTTGGCCGTGATCGTAATCAGCATTATCTTCATTCACATGGCGTATGGCGGGTACCTTGCAAGCTGTGCTGCTATGACAGAAAGACAATGTGTGCTCTGAAACGCGCTTGTTGTTCATCGCTATCAGCATAATCGTCATTGTCAGCGGCGGCTACGGCACACAACGCCAACAGACAAGCCTCGACCTCAAAGAGCTTCGCCCCTAAAGAAGAAGTGGAAGCATGGACACGCTTCCGACAAATACCTGCCTCTGGTTCATAGCTTTCCGGTTGTAAAGATGAGAGGGAAAGAGTTCCTAAAATTTAAAATCGAGGGCATTCGGCCACCTATATTGTGAAAGAGCTGCGCGGTCATAACCTAACTCTTTAAACCGTGGAGCGACAGGTCTGACAGAAACCACATGGTTCAGACTTAACGCCCCCTTCAGTGACTGCGAGAGGGGGGGGGGGGTTCCGTACCCTCCTTTCTTCTGTCTACGTTCCGAAGTGTGTGTGTGATTGTTCCAGCCGCATGCTGTGTTGCTGTGTGCTTTACTTGGGTGCTCGAACCACAGAAAAACGATGACGAGACGGGAGTCGGTGAACAAGAACCTCTTCCGCCTGTCAAAGGTCGTGCTCAATTATTGTGACCATAATAAGACATGACGCGGCGCACTTCGTGGATAGCTCATATCAAGTTCACCGATATGCACCGACAAAGCCGTTATCCCAAAAGCCCATTCGGACAACTAAAATCTTGAAACATGACCGTAGAACGGCACAAAAGGCAGTCGTTCATCGAAGCTTTCGGAGGAGACGGACACCGATTCGGCACTGACGTGTCTGCTCGGATACAACGCCCGTCAGTAACATACATGCGCGCTACGACCAGCGAAAAGACGGCCATAATGAAAGATGAAAAGCCCTGGGACGGAGAGAGACCGCTTGGTTTTTTACAGGCAGATCTCCAAGCACTGCAAGCTATGAAGGGCCCACTTTTCTTGGGCACAGAATTCACTGCCGAATCTTACGAATATATTCCCAAATACGGTTACTCACCACCACTATTGCCCTGAGTGATATACCATACTATACAGCAAGCGGCACCCAGAAGCTTTCCGGTTACAGTCTCAAACTTTGCGATGAGGTAGAAAGATTGATCCGCATGGTGTGCGCACATGTCAGAGTCAGGGTCATGGCTCGCACACACTCGAATTTTGGGAGGCCCTGCTCCACAGCCCAGGCCCCAATGTCCAGCAGGACGTCAGTAGAGCACATGCTGCTGCCAAAGAATTCTAGCCAACGGTTACGGGCGATGGGCAATGCCTGTCGTGATTGACTGATGTTAAGTTATTATCTCTCTGATATGTGTAAGTTTTGTCATAAATTGGTGGAATCCGTATCGTATATTATGCGCTTTTTCTGGAGTAACAGTGTAAAATAGAATATGTGTTATATAACAGGTAGCAGTAGGAAGCCGTACTCGTTTGCTCGGGCACGGTAGTATAACTACAAGTTCTTCGGCAAACTGAGGATACTGCAAGAGCGCAGGTGCCCGTATATCTTCATCTTTTTTTTTTCCGAGTGGTTGGAGTAATACAACACTTAATACAATCAACTATAAGATGAAGCAGAAAAAAAAAATATGGATCTCGCCCTCGAGTTGTTTTAGGCGAATAAGTAAAAGAACCTTGCGCGTTTTTTTCGCGTTTTTCTCAGCGCTAACAAGGGTCGTCCAGAAGGTGATAGTAACGCTTTTGACAATAAGGGTGATTTACTAATGTATTCGGGAAATCAATTTGTTTAGTGTTATTTAAATGAAAGCTATGCCGCAAAAGGCGATGCTGACCTTGGTGACGGCGAAGTACATAACCATCCGACCAGCCAAGCTGTGACCCACGAAGGTCGCCTTGCTCATTCCATGCTTTTTCAGGAACAGCTCCAGGTCGGCGGTTGTCAGCTCGTAATTCATGTCTTCTGTGTGGGGGCTGTCACCTTGGTTGCGCATATCAACCGCGAACACCTGCGCTTAGAGGGTGTACCCCGCGGTCAAGATTGATAATGCTATTTAACGTTGATTGATTGATTGACCTTCAAATTGTTCCTACATCACCATACATATATATATATATATATATATATATATATATTATATATATATATATATATATATATATATATATATATATATATATATATATATATATATATTATATAATATATATATATCGCTTTTTAAGGAGGTTATGTTGAGCAAAGGCTGTAATGCTAGGTAAGCGGAAATACTATAACGTAATCGTTACAAAGCAAAGACGTATTTGAACACAAATACTTGCTGTGCATATGCCATCTTGTGGACATTATCATTTAAAATCAGCCGTCATGAATTGCTGACGGTGCAATTTTCTTCTCATTCGTAACAATCGAAGTGTATTGGAACCGTGTCGCCTAGAATTACTGTGCGGACCTTACAGTACCAACGGAAAAAGGTAGGCAAAAGCGACCGGAGGCCGGAACGGCAACATTGTTATACATACGCGGCGCTGCGTTTTTCCCGAGCCCTCTGATATCGAGAGCACCAAGCAGACTCCATTTTCCAAAGCAGATGTGGCCGGTGGGAAGCGCTCCAACAAGCAACTTTCATGTGAGCAAGTGCATTAAATATACGGTTGCTCGTAACTTTGGCGAAAAATCAAAGTAAGAAAGAAGGATCTCACGTGCATGGAATTTCTCATATTCATACCTAGAGGAAAATTTCGCGCTATCGAGCTGCTGCATGCAAGTGAATGACGAGATACGTGAGCTTTCAACTTGACTCGGACTTGTATACCTCAAAGACGCGTCTGGCTTCACGTTGAAATGGTTGATTTCTTAATAAAATCACGTAATAAGGTGTTTATTTTTCTCATTGCACGTAAACGTGTTTTGTTTTACAGTAGAGCCTTCTACGTTCATGTACAATTTCACGAAGCGTAAAAAGTAACCAACGGCCGCTAAATTCGCAGGCAGACGACAAAGCTAGCGTTCTTTTCGCCACTTTTATGTCGTCTGTTTCTTTCCTTCTTGATTTGGTTGTGCCGTCATTGTGAGTGGACATTTACTTTAAAATATAACACGCGTTAATGAGATATGCTTATAAACGTATTGTTTTAGAGAACCTTTATTTAAGCAGTCGTGATTGCTTTTGAGCCGAAGCCTCGCTCAACACCAGCCGACACAAGCCTCGCAGACACATATACCGTCAGTCGCAGCGCTCCAACATCACCGCGTAAGAAATTCACATAGACAGTGGCGCCACACTTCTCTCTGGGTAGTTGTGAGAAACTATATGATCACGCGCATAGCCCTATTTGCCAATAAACAACGTGCCACGGGTGCTATTCTGGACATTGTTGAATTCCGCCATGTTGTCAGATTCCACCATTGTTCGATGCTAGTTGGCCAAGTGAGCTCCTAGGACCTCTCTGATTGGCTTAAAATGCTTCCTTACGAAATTTGACAATATGGAGGAAATAGTGTCCAGAATAGCGCCCCAGTGTTTCTTTTATATTTGGGCTTTCGGGTGAGCCGATGGCAAGGTGCGGCTATGTTCCACCGTGCCACGGGTCACCCCTGCGTTCTTGTTCGACAGCTCTGTTATGTTGACGTCACTGTCCCTCTCATCAGTCGGAAAAAAAACCAAATCACAAAGAACAAACATAGAAAAAAACGAGAAATTGTTCATTTAAGAACACAGCATAAATCATGGATTTGATCGTTTACAAAACTCATAATAACGTGCTGAACATAAAATAACTTCTTGTGGACTTTGTCGGAATGTAAGGATAATATGTAGAGGATTGTATTCGAAGTAGTCGTTGTGTTTTTATACCGTAAATTTTAAACAGCTGAACAAGTATATGTACATATACGACCAAATAACACTGAAAGTATATGTTCATATGCGACCAAATAAGACTAAAATATTACACCGCTATAATAGTTTTGCACGGGGTAGTCGAACAAATATATAATGCATGAAGTGCGTGAATTACGTTTCGGCCTGTCTTAGCAGCCAGTGCCCTGCAAACGGCCGTCAAGTTCTCCTTCAGACCAAACATTCCCTCCATTGCCACGATAGGTGGCAGCGCGGACGCAGACGCTGCATCGGGCGATTTGTGCAGACAGTAGGAGAGGCTGACAGCTCCTTTTCTGAAAAATAGATAAAAATAAATAAACGGAATCGAGCAGTACGCACGTGTTTCGCGCATGTACGAATCCACGTGATGCGAAAAGAGAACTTTCGCGAAGCTGTGAAATCAATTGTGAGTTATACACTCCATTTTGTCAAGTTTTTGTCTCGTAGTAATCACGTGCTTGGCACGACAAGCACGTTGTATACTTTCTTCGCAAATCATAAGCAGTGAATGACACACCTGAGAGAAGCGGCGTTAACAATTAAGATGCTTCTAAATAAAAAGCGTTTTATGCCGGGGCCCACAAGACGGTACATGATGAAGCGTCCGGCTCTTGTTGTCGCAGACGGTCATGTGTTTGACTCCCAGGTAATCCAATTTAGCGCAACTTTTTTTTAACGGACATCATTCAGTTCCGTATGTGACGTCGGTAAAATGCTAACGAACATATGACAAAGAAAACACATGGAAAAGGTTCCGCTTATTTGAACTGACATCCATCACGTGTCTTACGTCTGTAAAATGCTAAGGAACGGAGGACAAAGCAAACCAGAAGAACAATGTAACTACGCGCGTTGGGAAACCAGGTATACGTTTTTCAACTTTGTTTCAAGCCATGATTTTAGGTTTCACACGGGTAAAAATAATACCTACAACATTTATGTAGGCGAAATGACTGTCATGGCAAGATGTGTTCTAGAATGACTGCGCCTCCTGGAATCATGCCTTCCGACAGCCCTCGTAGTAAAAAACCATTGCTTTTCTACGCATAAGCTTTAATTCTGCATTAATGTTTTAAAACTGTTTTGCGACGCTGTCTACGCTTTTTTCTTTTGCTCTTGAAGACGATGCACTTTATCCTGCTCGTTATTTGTACTCTCTCAGTGTGCCTTTGTCATTTCTTTTGCATAACTTGGCTGCTGTTTGTAATCAACCCTGCAAGGTGACCTTAGATTTTCACTGCAAATTTTGCCAGTTACACACTTGTACCTTCCACCCTGTAACGGCCCTCTTACAAGCTAACAGTATTATTAAATAAATTAAAAAATGTGTGCCCCTTCGGTTGTTTTCTGGATTTACGCCACTGAATGCAACTGCTGCTTTGGAGCTTCATGAACAAGAAAATGCACGCACGTTTGCAACACTTTCGTACAATAATTTCGTCAAGGGCTCATACAAAACACATACTCACATGGTATCGCTAGAGTAACGCGCCACTGCATGTCGACGCCAACCTGTAGACGCTCCCATGTAGTACGTGGCCGCCGTTGCACGACAATGGGCGGCTCTGCTTGAGGAGAGGCTGCGAAACAGTCGTCCACAGCGTCAGCTGAAGGCCTCGATTCGCAGCAGCCATGCTGGGAGCCTTGCGGCGGGTAGAAGCACTCCGTATTAGCCTCAGTTTCGTTGAAATGAACGCGTAGCGCGATTATGGCGTCCCATCTTTACTATACGAAAGAAGAAACGCTTCTGACAACGGACAGGAGCACGGACTAGGCAATAGACGGCAAGAGCATGGAGAATGAGCGCATCGCGAAGCAAGGAATTTGGAAAACTTAAGCAGGGGGAAAGGAGGTGCTTCGGCCGATGTTTTCGTGAAAATGACGGGAAAGGTCCGACTGAGTAAAGGTATGTATCACCCTTTGTGCCTCTTTTTTAGGTGACAGCCCTATTCCCTTTGCTTCTTATCCTTCCCCTCAAACTAGTACGCACGCTTAGGATCCCATTTTCACGGGTCCGTGACGTAGACGAAGGCGGCAGGTGGCGTGTCCAAGATTAGACTCTTTATTTGGTCGAACTATAGTGCCCGGTAAATACAAAAAGTTTGCTTATTTGGGCCTTAACTACGTCAAACAAGGCTGTAGACGTGTAGTTGTACTTGATGTAGAGGTCGTTGGCATGATTCCAAGCAGTGACTATAAAATATTCGGAGCTTGCATGCGTCTAGATTCAAAAACGCAAAGCCATAAACTGATACTCCAGAACCCAATTGATGAGTTAGCGGCGAGTGGGAAAGTACAGGAATTACGTGTTTCGCTTCAGAATAGATTCGAGGCTCTAAAAAAAGGTAACCGACGCTACCGTTCACACAATGAATGAGAATCTTACTAGTCATCAAAGAGTGTGCAATGGAAGTCGCATGTACAGTCATTAAACAAGACACTTGCAGACTATCTCGGGAGATGAAAATTCTCATTAAAAGACAACAAGGAATAAAAGCCTCAAATGCGACTGTCAATATAGAGCTAGTGGAGTTTTCAAAGTTAATCAATAGGCACAAGGTAGCCGTCAGCAGACGGTATAACAGGGAGAGAATTGAGCAGGCTGTCAAAAGCGGTAGGAGCCTAAAGGCTGCCAAGGCAAATATGTGCAGTAGGCATAAGTCGGATGTCTGCAATAAGAGACAAGAAAGGCAATGTCCTAATCAATCATAGTCGAGGTGGCGGAGGAATTCTACAGACAAACAACCAGGATAATATCGTTATATAATAGCCCAGAGAAATTCGACATATCCTACCAGTAACGACAAGAATAGTAATGAAAGACCTATAGGTCGTTTCTTACTATTTTTTATATGGAAGGCAATGCAAAAAGAAGAATACGCTGGCGAGGATAAGGTAAGAACCAACTACCTTAAAGATGGCGGAGCAATTGCAAAAACTGACCGCCTTATATACGAAGTGTCTCTTTAGTGTAGCGCACCAAAATCTTGGAAGAACGCCAACATCATTTTAATCTATAAGATAGGAGACGTCAAGAAATTGAAAAATTACGGCTGATCAGCTTACTGTCGGTTCTCGGCAAGCTATTTACAAAAATAATAGCTAATAGAATTAAGGTGGCATTAGTGCTCAATCAACCCAAAGACTGAGCAGGATTTCGTATAAAGGCCCCTCCTTAATAGGCCATATTGACACTATCAATCAGGTAATGGAGAAATGCGAGCTATACAATCAACCTCCATACATATCTTTCATAGATTACGAGAAGACGTTTGACTCAGTCAAGACATCAGCAGTAACGCAGGCGCTACGGAGTCAGGGCACTGACGAATCCGGCAAAAACATACTGGAAGAAATCTATGGTGGATCCACAGCCACCATAGTTCTCCATAAAGAAAGCAACAGAATCCCAAAAAAGAAGGGTTAAGACAAGCAGACATATTATCTTTATTGCTATTCACCGCGTGTTTACAAGAGGTTTTCAGAACCCTACATCGAGAAGTTAGAGATAAGAGCTAATAGAAAGTATATTAAAATAACCTACTATTCGCTGATGGCATTGCCTTGATAAGTAACTCAAGGAACGAATTACAGCTGATGATTACTGAAACGGACACGGGAAGCAGACAAGTAGGTCTGAAAATTAATATACACAGATCTAATGTGCAACATTCTCGGCAGAAAAGAGCACTTTGCCATAAATGGAGAGCGTGATGAGTAAAGAAAGGGCACGAGGTGCGGGCCGAACGTGGAAATGCAGCAATGGTGCATGAAAAGAAAAGTCACCCGATGGCACGTGCGCCAGCCACGTTGACGCAGGAGATTGGTCGAAAAAAAGGCAGATCCCACGTACAGTGGGATCTGCCATTTTTTGTGGGATCTGCCACTTTCTGTGGAATCTGCCACTTTCTGTGGAATCTGCCACTTTCTGTGAAATCTGCCATATACAGTGGGATCTGCCATTCGGCGAAGCACGAATGAAAAATGTTGATATGTCACTTTGAAATCAGCGCAACGTTACGAGGTGGAGGTAAATGATACCGTACATGACTTCCGTCTCATGATTGTCATGTTTAGATGTGTCGTTAACCTTTTTCATTCACGTCACGTGATACCTAAATTTAGTATATGTGGAGCCAGCGAAATGGCCACGAGCTGCGCTACGAGCGTAACAAGTAGTCATGATTTACATGACAGGCATACCATGATTATCATGTTTGGACGTGTCATTTACCTTTGTCATCTATTCACCTACCTGATGCCAACTTTGGTATATATTGAACTAGCAAAATGGCCGCAAACACGCTATGAGCATCGGTATGTTATCATGTTCTTACATGCCAAGCGTGTCAGGATTATCATGTTTGCACCAGTTATATACTTCATCATCCATTGACGTCACATAACAGATAATTTGGTAAATGTGGAGCTAGCAAAACGGCCGCGAGCGCATCATGAAGGGCCCGATATACTCCAATGTAGCGTAGACGCAAGCGCACACCGGGCACAGCGACACTACGTTAGTAAAACGCGAGCACTCTATAGCCTGACGCCAGGCGCGACCAGCGTCCATCAGCGCTGCCCGACGGCAACCGGCGCGAAATGCGACATGCTCCATTTCGCGCGAGTGCTGTCTAGATCGGTGCAAAATCCAGCATGTCGCATTTCGCGCCGGTTGCCGTCGTGCGGCTTTCGGCTTTTCTAAGGGCAATTTCGCGCAAACTCATCTAACAATTTTACAGTCTTCTTTGTGAAGTTCTCCTGATTCCACGGATACCCAAAGCTTGGGCCAGGATCAACTTTACGAGAAGAAACCATCACAGGCAGATTGGATGACCTTGTGAAGACGCTCACCTTAACGACCACGGCCGGTGTTGCAAGTCCCGGAAGGCACTCCGACGTGCGGAACACGATGGTGTTGTGTGTTTGTGGGAGCACGGACTAGCAGATAGTGAACTTTGGACACTTGCTTTGCTGCCACGGGACAAAGATCGAAGGTGAGCGATGTTTGCCTCACTTTCTTGACCTGTTTTGTAACACGACAATATTCCGGCGGGAAAGTTCTATCAGCCTAAGCGCTCAGACTAACTTGGCAGGAGCGGTGGTCACTTTTCCTTTATTCTGCCAAGCATGCCTGGCACGGATTGATCGCCTTTTCTCGCCATATGGAAGCTAACGAAGCTTATGCCGGCCCTTCTCGGGCACCGGAATCACTCACCGCTGACACGGACGCGAGGGGCGTCTCGTCTCGGCAGGCAAAGGATAACGAACCAGCGTCTGTTGACGCGACTCTCGGAAACAAGACTGGCGACGCGGCTTGTTCGGAACGCCGTGGATGGACTGAGGATGCCTGGCATACCGTTTTATCATGCAGGCAAAAGAAAAACCAGTTAAAAAAGCAGCACTCCCAGATGGAGAAGGCTGTCAACGCGAACGAGAAATTTGAAAGCGATCGGCCCGCCGAAAAACAAAAACTTGAATGCCACGCAGGGTTTCAGACGGAGAAAGCGACGCGGCCCACCTCCCCTACTGAAAAAGGACATCAAGATTATTCTGAGGCCGCATAAGGGTCTCTGGGTTAAAAACATATTGGGACTGGAACTCTCCAGGGCTGTGATAGATGCCTGCCAACGAAGTTTCAATGGCAATGACTTTCTGTTGCGGGTTCACCCAGGATCGAGCATTGTAATCCTATCACCGCCAAGCATGTAGGTAGCGAGTAGGCTGCGAGGTATCAGTCAACTAAAGATCAGGGGACAAATCCACGCTTTCAATGCATATGTGGCCGACCCCGAAGGCATCTTGCGGGGAATTGTACATGGAATACCGGCCGGGACTTCGCAAGATGTACTAATGGAGAACCTACGTGTTCGAACTCAGGGGGTGAATGTTGAGAGAGCAAGAATGTTGGGCTCGTTTAAAACGGCGATTATCACATTCACGGGCAATGTGCTACCGAGGAACGTATACATAATGGGTGCCGAGTTAATATGCTACCTTTACAAGCCAACAGTACCGGTGTGCAAGATATGCTTCCAAACCGGACACCATACGGACGTCTGTCCAACTCCAAATTTCAATGTATGCCTCAAGTGCGGGGCAAGAGAACCAATCCAGGACAGGACTGCATCCCCAAGTGTGTCATCTGTGACAGGTGAACAGCCCACAGGAGATAGTCTGTGCAAGAAAAAACTTATGAACGTCGCTCCTCCCAAGAAACTGAGGACAGATCAGCCAAAAGACTGGTTTAGCAAACCTGAATGTACCACCGATGCCAAGTCGTCCGAAGAATTCCCTCCACTAAGGCTGGACATGCCTCGATGGTTCAGCTCGGACCGGCAGGAACAGCGCCAGTCTAGGTCAAGTTCACGATCCCGATCGAGATCTCAGTCAAGATTGCGATCGAGATCTCGTTCAAGGAGGGACAGACAAAATCACACCAACACGGCACCTCCGGCCCCTGGAAAATCCAGCTTAAAGAACCAACGAAAGCATCACGGACCTCCGGCCGAGATGGGTTCCTGCGAGGAATCACAAGACGCCCTAGCC